AAGATGATATCCCTCACATAAAACACATTTGATATCATTGGATCTGCTTTTCCTTTCACAATTTACAGAAGTATGTGCTCTTATGTATTTTATTTATTTTATTTAAATACATTTCATATGATTCAATTTTAGAAATGATCAGTTTTTAATTTTTGTGGGAAAGAACGTTTCCAATTTCGTTCTAAATAAATTTGAATAGAGTTTGCCTTTGATCGTAGAGATTAGTTTTCTTATTTGTTAAAAAGGTGAGGAGTCCTTTGTTAAAGTACCATGTTCCCACTGCAGCTAACTCAAATTCAGATTTGGTTGATTCCATTGACATTAGTTCATTTATGCATGTAAAAGAACTTTTATGTGTCAGAAAGTTCTTTAAAAGTTCTAGGAGAGTTTTTGTTTGTTTACATTTTAATTGTTTGCAGATGATATTTAGTTTGGTATTGTTAGTAGAAATTAATAAATTAATCATGAAAATACACAAAATACTAAAAGTTTTGTGTACAATATGTATTTATAAAAACAAACATTTCGACAAAGTCTTACCTCTGTTTAACTTGTTTTGTTTTTGTTTATTTAAATTTTGCATCAAAGCGAAGAGGTAAAATCTCATAGTTGGCACACTATACAGTCAACCTAGGTACTCGATAACAACTGAATTCTACAAGCAACTTGTTGAACATTATCAAAACAAATGCATAATTGGTGGAGACTTTAATGCGAAACATACCGCTTGGTGTTCGGGGGTCATTACCACCAAAAACCGAGCGCTTTCAAAAGCATTAAGAGAAAAAAATTAGAACATCATATTAACAGCGAAACCAACATATTGGTGAACTGATTGTAACAAATCACCAGACCTACTAGATTTCTTCCAAATTAACAAAATCAAAACTAATTATTTGCATATCGAAGAAAGCATGTATCTAACCTCGAACCACTCCAGTATATTTAATTCTCTCCGATGATATCATTAGAAAAAAAATCCATTACTAACTAGCAGCAGCACCGATTGGAAGTATTTTTATACAAAACTGGACTAACATATAGAGTCTGAGGTAAATATTTGTACCACCGAAGACATTGGAATCAGAGCGTTTGAATTCACCAAAGTTGTACATAAAGCAGTTTGGAAAAACCAATTTTGCACAACCCCTGCCTATGTATACAAATTATGTGGTTATGTGATTATTTGCAGTGTTGAAAAATAATATAAAATTTAAGCTAATGGTATCACAAAAAAGATTAATTTCACCAAATGGCACCACGAATTTTGAATTTCAAATTGGCATCACTAACATTTGAAGTTATTTCGTTTGTAAACAAACATTTAAATTTTGCAAAAGTAAGTTAAAATGATCTACCATATACTAAATAAAAATATACAAATGACTTATTTATTTCCCATTTTCAGTGTCTAACGAAATCCGGAAACGTAAACGGGAAAATGAAGTAAAGAAATGGACGGAGCAAGAAATAAAAACAGTACTAAGCTATATGCAAGAGCACAGGAACATAGAGGTAATTTGTATTTTGATTTGTATTTTTGTTTCTTTGGGTTATAACTTTTGTTTTTATAAATATATTTAATGATATGTTAGAAACTAACAGCCCAGCTATACAACTACTGTAGGTAAGAAATTAGAGTTAGAACAAAAAGAAAGAATTAAAAATTATAAAATTAATGTGAAATATAAAAATAAATAACAAAACAGACTTATTAAAAAAATTTAAAAATGTGTACTTTTATTCAAACATCATATTATACAGTGTTTGTCTTTTTAGCTCAGGTGTAGGTGCAGCAATAGTATTGCTATCATACTGCGCTTCACACCTTTCGCTATTCTCACTTTCAAATTGTGAAAAATTGCGGTCTTCCAACAAAATATTATGCAACACACAACAAACGAGAATCCAAAAATTGAAAAATTTTTGGCTTTTCTTGTCTTTTATTTTAATTCTCATTTGTTTTAAACTGCAAAACTTTTCTTTAAGGATTCCGAAACAATTTTCAACTCTAACGCGGTATTGGCTGTGTCTTTTATTGAATTTGTTTTATTGTTCAATATTCATTAAAGAAGAATTGGTGCGATATGGCGTTATCAAATGTTTAGTCAACTGGTACGCAGAGTCGCCTGCAATCCATTCTTCTTCAGTAAATAAGCACGTGCTGTTTGTTGCAATATGCGATTTCTTAAATATTTTAGAATCATGGTAGCTTCCCGGATTACCCACTAATGCGTGCATGATGCGGAACTTACAACTTGCAATTTAATAGAATATATTCGTTAACGAGAAAAGTATGCCTCATTGTTATTGCTAGATTTTTCGGCCAGCTTTATCTCACTTCCATCAATATAACCAATACAGAATGGTAACTCACTGAACGTATGAGCAATAAGTTGCCTACGCTCAGTCGTACTAGGCCATTGAATGTATACCGGTAATTTCTTCAAAATTGCTGAAAATACTCTCTGGGTAATTTTAGTCAGAGTGCCACCATCTTCCACTCCAAAAATTGTCGCGATTTTTCGCACTGATGCACTTTCTCCTGAAGAGCCTGAACGGAATAGTACTATCGCGAGTTGTAAATCCACGGGCAGTTGCATATTGGATCCTGGACCTTTAAATATTATATCATTTGCAAGTATTTCAACAAGACGAGCAAATTGGATCTTGTTGACACGTAACATTTGCAAAAATCGTCCTTCGTCGAAACAACATAAAATATTATCTCACCAATAAATGGATTTTGGCACACTTAGTTCATCCCCTCGTCGATAAGATGTGATTGTTCTTACATCCTCCAGTAGTTCATCCATTCTTTCATCAATGACAGCGTGCCATTGATCGAAGTGTGCTGTGTCTATAAATGGAAAAACTTTGATTTTTGCAACTATTAAGCTTTAAAATTCAAGATCTTTAATAGATGCATTTATTTTTAAGTCTATAATTTGATTTTTTAAACTCTTTTTAGGCATTTCGTGTTGATTTTGAAATTTAAATTTCTTTGTACTTACGACAAAAACAAAGAACAGCTGATTGTATAAAAATAACCAGATAACCTACATAAAAGTCTGTTCACGGTGCACACAGGTTATTTTTCATTTTATCATCACATAACCCGATAACCAGTGCCCCGTGAACACCCTAATTATAAAACGCGAACTAAAAATCAAACTTATCACTAGACTTTGGTCTCAGCAGAGGTTCTCAAGAAACTAACATAAAGGTCTTTTAGAGGGAGAATAATGACAGCTGAGAGAAAGGCGGCAAGATAGGCAGTTTTGGTTATGTATTGCGTTGTATTATATTTAATAATACATTGATATTTAATCTAAAACTGTATGTTGTGTGTAAATAGTGAAGTTACCACATGGTTGTAGTTAGGTTAGCTAATACAATAAACGCCTGTTTCGCTCTAAAATATGCACCCACCAGCTGGAAAGTTGCAGAAGTTGTAATGATCTCCAAACAAGACACACCATTTTACAGACCAATATCGTCATTGCCAACTACTGTTTCAACGAATCTTATCCCGTAACATCAATTTGGTTTTAGAGGCATGTATTCAACCACTGGCTAAGTACACAGAATAACAAATGTTATAAAAAAATGCTTTGAAAAAAAGGAGTTTGCTCTGCTGTTTTTCTTGATGTAGCTAAGACTTTCGTATAGTTTGGCATACAGGATTAGTTAAAAGATTAAGAAACATATTATCATCTGACTATAATGATATCATAGAAATATATTTGCATGAGAGCGCATGAAATATGAAAATTGATGCTGAGATGTTAACCCCATCAAAGCAAGTGTTACACAAGGCAGTATACTTGGCCCCATCACCCTCAAATTTATTCATAGCCACCATTGTAGATGACACTGCTACTCTTACTATAGCAAACACAGAAATTGAATCCACGCAGCAACTTTCAAACGTCGTTGATGAAAGATATAGTGGGACAATAAAATGGTAAATTGCTTTGAATGATTGAAAATTAACTCATATAAATTTAACAATGAAAAAAGTCTCATATATACCAATTAGTACAAATGGCAAATAAATATCGTATTCAAATATAGCAAAGTAGCTCAGTATGACTCTGGACACTAAAATTAAATGGAAAGAACACATTAAAACTAATAAAAAATGAATTAGAAATTAAATATTAAAACCATCAATGCCTTTTAGGTAAAAATTCACATTTGTCAGTACAATACAAGTTGACCATATATAATTTACGCAAATGTATGGCGCACAGCTATGGAGTTATGTAAACAAAACTAATATAGAAGTTATACAGCGCTTCCAGAATACAGTACTGTGATCAATAGTAAACGTCCTACAGTATATCAGAAACAGCGGCCTTCACCGCGACCTAAATATATCAACCGTCCATGTAAAAATATATAAAGTGGCAATGTCTCATCATAAAAGACTTCGCCAGCATACAAATGAAAAAGCCAACAAATTGCTTGATACTAGTGGTTTAAGAAGACGATTGAAATGTAACAAACCTTTTGAACTAGTAACATTCAATAGAATGTATTAATAACTATTTATATGTCAATTGATATAAACGGCTCGTTGGTGAGCAAAGGCTAGTTGTGGTAAGAAAAATTTGTATCTTTTGCAATAATTGTTTCAATAATATTAAAACAATCAACCAGTTTTATAATTCTTTCAAATTTCATCATTTCCTTATTAAGAAATATATTTTGCAATGTTGCACTCGACAGTTTTGATGTAATTTCCTCTGATTTATTCTTAACTAAGTTGAATCCTAAAGTTTTTTGTATCGTTCATAAAATTTCATTTCATCACCGATCTAAATCAAATAAAATGCTTTAATTAAGCAATGGGAACATACCATTACTGTTTGCCACGTCATTGCTAAATATGCAATATGCATACAGTTTATAATTGAATATATATAATACATATACATATAGAAATCTAAAGATTTTGCTCAACAAAAAATTATAGGCAATTAAAACTACCTTACTTGTCTTATCAAGGACGCATATGTGAATGGAGGCCGTACGTCAGCATTTTTGTAAAAGTCACGATTACGATATATTTCTAAAAAAAAATTATTTAAAAGTTGAAAAAAAATTATTTATAACTCGATATAAGGCATGTTTCTAAAGTACTTCCGGACCTTGTTGTACATCCAAGCCCGCACGTTCCAGCATATATGGTAACCCTTAAATAAAAAGAAAATATAAATTAAATTTGATGTAGAATTTATCCAAAATTGTTTTATTTAGGAAATGTTTGCAAAACATATATATTTTCTGAAGGAAAATAGAATTATGTATAAAAGTGATAGTTATTTCGATCACGTAATTTGACGAAAAACAATTTGACAGAAAACAGGTTGCACTATCTTACGAGTTGTCATAAAGTGTAGTAGAAATTCTGTAGTCAAACAAGAAATATTAGTCCTACCAATATTATAATATGTGTATAAGACACACAGGTTTTTTTTTAAATAATAATAGCAAGTAATTCAGTTTCTTACATATTATCAGATATTGCTTACCACTAATTTTGACCACATAAATAATAAAAAAAAGTTGATATTAACGTTGAAGCAATATTTTTAAAATTTATACAATTCTATTTAACGTCCTTAAAGTTTCGTTTTAAGACATGGTTCAAATTCTAAAAAAGCATATAGTCTTTCTGCATTTTAACAATTTGGTTGAATTGGATGTAGTAGTTAAGGAATTTTTCGCATCACAAACAGAAACAAATTTGTTGACATAAATATTATGAAATTATTAAGTGGTTGAATGCATTAATAGTATTGGCGGCTCTAATGTTTATGTTCCACCTAGAACAATAATAATTTTAAAATATACATGAAAATTACTCTTTTCGCATTAAATTGAGTATTGTAACACACTGAAGTTAATTTAATTTGACTGTTGTGACGAAATTATGTATTAAAGATTTTTTCAATAAATAAACAGTGGGTCTTAGCTTATTTCATTCAACACTGTTTTAAATTTTCAGAACACTGTATCTTAAAAATGAATTAGAAAACAATTACGTTTTTAATATAAGTGAGTAAAATCACGCTTATTGTACATAATAAATGATACAAAGTACATAAAATTTGTTTTTGTTTCACTCAAAGGGAAAAACCCGATCGCGTAACAGAATTATAGCTCACAGCTTATTTCATCCAAATTATCATTTACACTTAGTCACCAGTATGTGGCGCTGTGCAACGAGATTTTTATTCAGAATATTTTTAAAGTATTTGCAATCAAATGTCATTAATTTTTTGTGGGATTTTGGACGTGCAAGGATAAATGAAAAAATGGGACGACGCACTACAATTGAGAAGAAAGAATTGGTGCTAACGCATTTTAAGAACGATCAGCCTTAGGGAAAAATTTTGGAATTCGGTAATTTGAGTCGCTTTACTATGCAGAGCATCATTAACTGCTTTGTTTGTGAATGTGTGACTCAAAATATGAACAGAAGTGCACCAAAAAAAATTTGCAAATCAGGTGACGAGCGATATATTGTTAAAAAATCAATAAGAATCTAAAATTAAATGCTCCTGATATATTCAGAAAGATGCAGATAAAACTAAGCAAGATGTTCACTGTAGAAACTGTCCGCCGCATGCTTCGACACTCCCACTTTAATGGTCGAGTAGCTAAAAACAACCCTTCATAAAGAAAAAAAATCAGAGCCGTCGGCTTGTTTATGCTAAGAAGCATGCTCACAAAAAATCAGACTTCTGGAACATCGTCACATTCTCAGACGAGTCTAAACTCAATATTTCTAGCATAGATGGCATGACTTACGTGTGACGGAAACCTAATACTTTGTTAAAAAAAAAATTGTAAAGCTGCAGTAAAACATCTACCGCGTAGAAGTGTTATGGTTTGGGCCTGAATATCAGCCGCCGACGCACAGTGGGGTAATTGACCCTGATTTTGTGGATTAATTCGAAAAATATATTTTGGATATCGTAGTCATATTTGATATTAGGAGAAAGTAGATAAAATTCTGCAACACTGGTTGAAAAAATTAATGTTATATATATAACGGTATCTCTATAGCACGCTTCAGAATTTACATATTTATTCATTGTTAAGCTGTGTCAAGAGTGCGCTGAACATTTTTTTAGTGATTTGAAGTGCTAATTGAAATAAAATTTTATTTACAAGTAATTTTTGAATTATGGAACCTTTAAGCTCAGGTATTTTTCTTATATTTAAATGAATTTGCGATTACAGAATAAGTGTATAAATAATTAAAAAAAATTTATTTGTTATAGTCTTGAAATTACATGTATTTTCAGGAAATTAATAAACATAAAGTTATTTTTGCAGTAAAATGTACTAATAATTCCAATTTATATGTAAAGTATATATATTTGACTACCGCGTGGCAAAATATTAAGTTGCCCTTTTGTGCCTTTTCTGAAATATTCAGATTTTATTGCTGCAATGTCTGCACCAATTTGCTCACTGTAATTGATAATTATTGTATGTAAGCAAACATTGTTGGTATAATGTGTTTGTTTCTTCTTTTGTTTTGTTCTGTTTTTGTAATAAGTAACAATAAAAGTGATGTCAATGTAATTTGCGAAAGGTAAAAGGGGAAAAAAATGTGATTTCTAAAAGTTATCTGATAATAAGAAAATGTATTCTCTTTATAGAAACCTTATCAAACACTATTTTCATTTCACGTCAGACGCTGTATGATATTATGAAAAACTCAGGATTTGAAGGGTTTGAAGAGAAATTTCACAATTCTTAAAAAACGCAATTAAAAATCGTACTGGTGCGGCAGACGAAGGCACAAATTTGGAAGAGATTTTGAAAAATTTTTGTAGGCATTTTAAAATACGTTGGACAAAAGCACACAGAGTAGAAGATCGCTTTCTCAAATTAAACAGTAATTGGTTAGATTCATCTATAGGATTTACTTCTTATAATAAATGTAAACGCGGTCGTAAAGAAACTACATTTAAAGAGTGTGATGTATCCACTAGACACAAAAAAACCAAAATTCTACGAGAGAGTTATTCGCTGCCTATGCTTGCTTTTGCTACCAAGGTATATTTAAAAGCTTCAGGAAATGTTGAGGGTTCTAAGTTGGTATACGAATTATCAACATCTTCACCAACAAGAGCAGTAAAGTATAAAAAAAATTTAACTGAATCAATGGAAAAAGGCAACAAAATCACAAATGAAAAAGCTTTGGCTATAATTGTTGATGCTCAGTTAACGCGGCATCAATATAACATCATCAGGCAAGCTGCTCCAGATCGTTTTCGGGCATATTCATCGGTACAGTCAGCTAAAAAACTTTGTTATTCACATTCCGACTATATTAAAATAACTGAAACTTCGGCTGAAGTTAAGTTAAAAGCACTTCTAGTACTGTTACAAAATTCCGTTATTGTTACTTTATGCGAAAAAGAATTAGCAAGTTTTTGTTTACAAACTAACTGGGGATTTGATGGAAGCTCTGGCCATACCTTATTTAAACAGGCCTTTCATGGACCAAATGTCAGCGATGCTGCTGTTTTTATAACATCGTTTGTTCCATTAAGGTTACTTTGTGGTGACAAAATTATTTGGCAAAACCCGAGACCATCTTCTACCAGATTTTGCAGACCCTTTAAAATCTTTTTTAAAAAAAGAAAGCGCAAGCGTTTGTAGAGAAGAAAAACAAATGGTTGAAGAAGAGGTTCAAAATATTGATAAGTCTATTGTGGTATTCGTTCCTGAGTTTGATTTTGTACTTTTGTGTGTTACTGGTAACTACATCTGTGACTGTGTCAATTCGAAGATCTCTATGAATATTTGCGTTTTTTTATATACCAGGGGGCACCGACTATTTGCCGGAGGATTTTTGATTGAGTTCTTTGAAGTTTTTTAATGTTTGATGGAGAAGCAGAGCTCCAGAGTTCAATTCCGTAGGTCCATATGGGTTTCATCATTGTGTTGTAAAGTTGCACTTTATAGGTAAGATTAAGTTTAGAATTTTTATTTATCAGCCAGTTTAGTTCTTGTTGTTTGAGTTTAATTTGGGTTACTTTGGTTTCTATATGCTTTTTCCACGTAAGCCTTCGGTCGAGGTGCATTCCTAAGTATTTGGTGTCATTGCATTGTGGTATTACTTTTCCATTAATACGAAGGGCAGGGCAGGTATCTCGTCGTAGAGTGAAGGTTATGTGTACACTTTTCGATTCGTTAACTTTTATTCTCCAGAGATCGAGCCATTTTTGCAGTTTGTTGAGGTGGTCTTGAACTAATTTTGTGGCTGTGAATAGGTCGTCACTATGGCTGAGAATGGCAGTGTCATCCGCAAATGTTGATGTTGTTACTTATGCGGTGCAACTAGTGCAAAGTTTAATTCAGTTGATGAAATGATTGCTAAAAATATTGAAACTTAGTCTTAGTTTTGGGTTGTCGGTATTGCATGGTTGGATAAGGTTTTTTGAATGTCTACTGCATTTATCATATAAATTACCCATAAAAAAGTGGCAAGCAAAGTCAGAATACGAAAAAAAAATTGTCATGGAAACAAAGAGACGTATTCAAAAAGACTTCAAAGATAGAGCTGGTTTAATCGTTGATCAACCAAAACCTGGATTTGGTAACTTAAATGATGGGAATACAGCCAGAAGGTTCTTTCAAAATGCAGAGCTATCAGCTGAAATCACTAGTGTTGATTTAGATTTAATAAAAAGGATGCATACATATCATATTGATTGTTGTTTCTTGCGGCCATGAAATAGAAATTAAAAGTTTTCGATGTTTTGCACATGAAACTGCTAGACATTTTGTATCGAAATATGCTTGGTATAATATGCTTCCTACGCTACATAAATACTTTATTCATGGTCCGGAAATAATATCGCACGCTATGTTACCAATTGGCCAATTAACGGAGGAAGCGCAAGAAGCTCTTAACAAAGAATTAAAAAAATATAGAGAACATTTTACACGTAAATGTAGCAGAGAAAAGACCAATTACGATATTTTGAATAGGTTTCTTATTAGTTCTGATCCCGTTATTTCAAGCCTTAGAAAACTGAATAAAAAAAAGTTTCAACATATACCACCATAAGCTTTAGATCTTTTAAAATCACCACCTGTAAAAAATACTAATTCCCAATGTATCAGTGATGATGATGATGATAATGATGATCATGATGATG